AGAAAAGGAAACCAAACCATCTGAAGTGGAGGGAATGTCACTGAGGAGTGCAATGATGACATGGCTTACTAGTGGAAAAACACAGCAAGTTTACTGCCTACAAAACACAGGAAGATTAGAGAGCGTATGTACACAAGGGCAGGGAAGAAGGAAAGGGAGTAGTGTGTCATAAAGTAAATATCTGTTTTCCATCATCTTTGGCATCCAGTACAATTATGTCCAACTTCCCAGCTCATCTTCCAAAGGCATTCGGAGGACAGACTAGCAAGACCGAAAGTTTCAGCAGAATTTACCATGTTGAAAGCCATCTTGATTAACAGCAGAAGAGAGCACTGCTTCAGCTCCCACCATAGGCAATAACCACCCAACTGCACAAAATATTTGATGTAACAATAAATGTTAATAACACAAAAACCAGCTCCCTGTATGTTTTGGCCATACAACACAGAAAGATACCAGGCACCATTCACCCAGTGCCTCCCAGTTACTTTTTGTTTCCAGTTGTTAACAAGATATCCCAAAAGCAAACTATTCGACAATAGCTAGAGCAAACTGCTGCAGAACAAGTTCCTTCTGACAGCTTTATTCCTTACACAGCACAATTATTTCTCCCATCATCTTTGCTCTTTGAGAAAAAATAAATAAATCATACCACCCCCATTGGGAATCTCATCACACAGAAGCATGCTCTCTATAATTGGGGTGCTGTTTAAAAAAAAATAAAATAGTTTCCATAGTAAGTGATGGCAGGTGGAAAGTTACTGGACTTGTAGACATAGCCTTTGTCTTGAAGGAGGGTAGCCTTCAAGTATTTAAAAAGGTTTTTGTTGCTCTGTTTGTTTTGTTTTTAAATAGGCAAAGCAATCTGCTTGGTTTCCTCTGTTGCTGTGCATCCAGGATATCCACTTCTGGGTGTTTCTCCCCATACTCACGCTTCCTGCCACATTCATCAACAAGAACTCTTGGTCCTTCAACAGCATGTTGATCAGGCACCTTCTGGAACTGAACTGCACAGAAACTGAAGCCAGCCTTGCAATTTAGGTTGCAAAAGCTGATCAGATGTGTTTATATTGAGACATACACAGAACATGTTGTTTCAGCAGCAATCATAAAAAGAGCAACAAAACCTGGGAATTGTGGGATGACATGTAGAACCACCTAAAAATATAAACTCGACTACATGTGTTTTGTGGTTAAGATCTAACTGTGCATATAAGCATATGCCTAAAGCTTAGGATAACAGTGGTTTGGATTGAGACGACTTGAGTGAAGGTAGAGATGCTGGCAGCTGATAAGGTGCTCATGTCTCCTTCCTTACACTTCAGATTTGTTCTGTACTTTCCATTCAAATAAAATCCTAACAGAATACCTCATCAAGTACAGAGTAAACTGTACTAATCTATGATCAAGTGAACACAGCTCAAAAAACAGCATATTTAACTCTAATACAAGCATTGAAAAGATTCATAGACAAGATTTCAGTGTCATCACTACAACTGCAGAATGATGTCCCATACCATTCGGGAAGCAGAACAAGGAGAATAGGGAATATTATACCAAAGCACACAGTTAAGCATTGCTATGTATGAAATCACATCTGTATCCTACTGAAGCCAGACACCACTTCACACTGAATTATTCCTCAAGGTCTGGGGAGAACTTACTTGGATAAAAAGTTTAAGTAAGCTACCTGCTTTCCTTCAGAAAGCTTGTGCAGGCGGGCTCGTTAAAGAGCTGCGTTCTGCATCATGATATTCTGATGATGGAGGACATTAGCTTGCTGCCAGCCACAAAGGGATTAGCAGCACCTCTCAGTAGGGCTGCAACTGCATCAAGAGTGTCTTTGTCTGAAGTTAAAGCATTTTTCCAATAACCTTGATTATACTGTCTTTACTATCTTCACTTCCAGTTAGTGATAATTCCAAGCTAGAAAGAAACACCCTGGTTAATTGTTCATGCTACCACCCAATGAGCACATCACCCAACTTCAGGCAAAGATTCTTTCAGCTCTGCAGACAATAACTCCCTTTTAAACTCTATAAGGTTTGAAGTATCCTTTTTAAAAGCACCATAGTAGCAACATGCTCCCATTCTCAGGTTCCTATGACAGGTTCTGTTTGGAACTGACCAGTCTTTCACGTTCATTGGTCAACATAAATCTCCTTCAACTGTCTATATTAAGACACAAGAGCAAAAAACATTTTTTGTATGCTCTTAAGCATCTGATCAAGACGTGAGATTGCTCAGTGTTGCCACATTAAACAACAGCACAAGGCAACGATTTAATAACACACTTTCTCCAAAAGGTAGCAAGTGCTTTTCTAGAAATCAATAGGTGTCAAACAGCTACTTTCAGTTCTAAGTAAAGTTATAAGTATTCTAAGAGTTATCAGCTCACCTTATTCCTCTCTAACTCTTGAATATACATTGGAAATGCAAGATTAATGCAACCTACAATTCATGAAACTAGCCTAACCCCATACCCTTCAGTTAAATATGGGTTTCAGGTAAGTCCATAGACTTACCTAGCTACTATAAAGACAGCATCCAGTTCTGCAGAACATGCCCTAAAATCTTCCAAAGCCATTAGATTGGCAGTGAATAAGCGAAGCATAGTTGAATAGAGTAACAGCTCCAACAAGTTAATGGATAACCACAGCAGGTAACACAGGAACAAAACTAAGTGAAAACAAATACCCTGCAAAGTTGAAAAAGAGAGACGTACCAGTCTAATCCTTAGGCTATGACATAAAATCTTCCAACTACCAGCAACCTGAAGGATTTTCCCTCCCCCCACCCCCCATCAGTATCATTAAGCTTGTCCCACAGGTCTGGGACCAGTTCAAGCCCACATGAGAACTGACTGCAACACAGAAAGTTTCACGCAAACAGACTTGTGCATTTGGTAGAGCTTATCTCAGAGAAATTCTGTGAGCTAAACTGTTTGTAATTAGAATTTAGAGAGCAGACAAGAAGATTTTATTTTGGCACATCAGTAAGGAACGCGGGAAAAGCAGCTTAACATATGAGAACAAAACCACTGTAACGTGAGGGAAAACAACTACAAAGAGGTACAAAAGTCAATAGATCAGAAATATCCAGAGAGGAAAAAAAAGCACAAAATCTGCAAGGAAAAGCAAAACTCTGCAAGGAATCTTATGGGGTAGAAAACACAGAGTTTGAACTCTGTATACTTGTATCAGATGAAGAAACTTGACAGATCAGATGAACGTAGAAACAGTTTTGAAACAAATGTGTCAGTGTGAAAACACAAAGCCAGCTGACTGAGCAAGGCACAGGAAAGTGAGCAATAAATTAGAACAGTCAGTCCTTAGCAGACTGACAGACTAAGAGGAGTTCTTTCGTAGCCAAATGCTGCATCTAATCCACTGAAGGAGACCATGATTACCTAAATCCATGTCACACGAGCCAAATACATTACACCTTTGTGTGCATCCTCCAGAGTGTGACAATAAACCAGACAAAAGACTAACACTAGTCATGGCAATGAACTTCAGCTTGATTCTAGCACATCCCAATGACACACCATGTACTCTGGCACCAACAAAGGAACATAGAAAGCAATCAGCCACCCAACCAGGAACTAGTTGTATAAAACTGACTCATAGGCTGAAAGACAAAAACCTCCATCTGTAATATTTTCTATACTTCACATCTGTACAGGCACAGGAATTTAGATCAGGATTATTCACATGGGTAAACTTCAGGAATTAAAGATAACACAAGAGGAAAACAGACCTGTACACCCATTCCATTTCTATCTTACAACTATCCTAAATATATCATGTGATTTGTAAAGATACATGCTACTTCTGACTGGAGAAATAAGTTAAGCTGTCACAAAGCAAATGAACAAGAAACAGCATTACAGAACAGTTGAGCCACACTGCCTAAAACTTTGGGGATAAAGAGCACTTGTCATGGTTGCAAAACATGACCAGCACTGAAAGAAATAGCTAGTAACTGCTTACTCCCTAACCTTCAGTGAGCACACAAGTTGTCTGGATGGCCAGTACAACAAGCTCTAATTAATGCTTAACTTTAAAAGATCAATCAGATAAAGAACAGATGGTGGAGGAAAATGAATGGGGATAAACAGTACAAGGAAATAGAAACATACGAGGTCTTTGCCATTCAACATCTCAGCTTCGCAAGCACATGCAGAATCCCCAGCTGACAGAACTGAGCATCTGAACTTTGCTGGTTATCTGACAGAGTTTCTTACTACCTCCATCAATCCCTTAGCGGGCAGAAGACATCTGCAGTCTCACTGCTTATGATTGGAAGCTCCAGGTGACCATAAGATACAGTCAGTAGAGGGAGGGATGCTGTTAAGTGCCCCACTTCCGCAAAGCAAGTACACTTCTATATTGGCTGTATTCCAGAATTAATAAGTCTAGATGAAGTCACCACAATGACAGGTTTGATAAGTTACAATTGAGTAAATCAACTTGTGTCAGATTTCAGCTGTACCTTATGCCTAGGCCACACTGTGAAGATGGACATTCTCCTCACACCTACTTCATAGAATCATTAAGGTCGGGAAAGACCTTTAAGATCAACTAGTCCAACCGTGCCCACTAAACTGTGTCCCTCAGTGCCTCATCTACACGGTTCTCAAACACCTCTAAGACGGTGACTGCACCACCTCTCAGGGCAGCTGTGCCACTGCCTCACCACTCCTCCTGAGCAGGCATTTTTCCTAATATCCGACCTGAAGTCGTGCCGGATCCCCTGCAGAATCTCCAGCACCTGCCCTTCATCTGACTAAGCGCTCTATCACGGCGCACGGAAGGACACGAGCCGGGACTCCTGAAGGCAAGACGCAGCACCAGCCTCGCGCTCCAAGCTCACCCTGCAGCAGCTCCAGCCCTGCCGTTGCCCAGCGGTCACCCCAGCGCCAGGAGGACGGCGCAGGTCGCCGCCTGCACCTCGAGCACTCAGCACTCGGCTGCAGCCCACACGCGAGCACCCCTCACCTGGAGGAGCACGGCCAGCAGGACGCACAGATACACCTGGTAGGGTCCCATCTGCCCCACCAGCGGGAACGCCTCCTCCACCTCCATCCCGCCGCGTCGCGCATCCCCGGCCCGGGGCAGGCGGCGGGCAGAGGATCGCCGAGCGGGCCCTCAACCCGCAGGAAACGGCGGGAGGCGCGAGGCGGCGCTCACGCGCAGCCGCCGCCCGCGAGGGAAGCGGAAAGGCAGCGGTCCCCCGAACGCCGTTCAGAGCGATGAGCGCATGCGCGCGGGAGGAGTTCCAGTAGGGGGTGGGAGGGAAGGGAGGCTCGCCTACTCCTCGGGCTGCCATTGGCTGCCGGTGAGGAAGGGGGTGGGAGCGAGTGAGGCCGAGCGTGGGGACGTGCGAGGGGGAATGTGGGATAGGTGGTGCGTGTGTGTGCGAGCGGTCTGCCGGGTGTCTGTGGGGTGCTGTGAGGGATGTGTGAGCGGACACTGCGGTTGTGTGATGGGGTCTGCGGTGTGTCTGTGAGGGGAGCGTGAGGGAGGCGGTTGCTTGCAGCTAGCGGACTGAGAAGCTGTACCTATACAGAGCACTCTGCTTAAAGCCTGTCCATTCATGCACAACGCCTGTGTCCTGACATACCTAGTGGCCTTCCATGATGCTGCCCTTCTGCTGTCCAAAGAAAGGCAACAAGGCTTGTGAAGGATTTGGAGAATGTGCCCTACAAGGAACAACTAAAGGAACTGAGGCTGTTCAGTCTGGAGAAAAGAAGGCTGTGGGAGACATTATTGCTCTCTTCAAATACCTGACAGGTGATTGCAGCAAGAGCAGGGCTGGCCTCTTCTCACTTGTGACAGGTGACAGGACGAGGGGAAATGGCCTCAAGTTGCACCAGGGAAGGCTTAGGTTGGATATCAGGAAATAATTCTTTACAGAAAGGGTTGTTAAGCACTGGAATAGGCTCCACAGGGAGGTGGTTGAGTCACCATCCATGGATGTGTTTGAAAACCATTTGGATGTGGTGCTTGGGGGCATGATTTAGCAGAGAGTTGTTAGAGTTAGGGTGGTATGGTTAGGCTGTGGTTGGACTTGGTGATCTTTAAGGTCTTTTCCAACCTGAGCAGTTCTATGAGTCTGTGGTGTAACTGTGTCAATGAACATGGGAAGAGCCTCTGACATCATCTATCTGGACTTCAGTAACGCCTTTGACATGGTCCCTTATAAAATCCTTCTCTCCAAATTGGAATCATCCGATCAGTGGACTGTTCAATGGACAAGGAACTAGTTGTGAGATCATACCCAGAGAGTGGTGGTCAATGGCTTAATGTCAGGTTGGAAATCAGTGATGAGTGGCATCCCTCAGGGTCAGTATGAGGACTGGTGCTCTTTAATCATTTCATCAATGACATGCATTAACAATGGAATCAAAGGCACTCTCAGCAAGTTTGACACCAAGCTGTGTGGTGTAGTTTACATGCTCAAGGAATGGGATGACATTCAGAGAGACCTAAACAGGCTCAAGCAGTGGGCCCAGCTGAACCCCATGAGGTTTAGTAAAGCTACATGCAGGGTTTTGCACTAAGTGTATCCTGGGCTGTATCAAAAGAAGCATGGCCAGCAGGGTGAGGAAGGTGATCCTGCCCTTCTACTCTGTGCTGGTGAGACCTCACCTGGAGTACTGCGTCCAGATGTGGAGTCCTGAGTACAAGAGACACAGACATATTGATGTGGACCTATTGGAGTGCATCCAGAGGAGTGCCACAAACATGATCCAAGGGATGGAACACCTCTTCTACGAGGTCAAACTGAGAGGTTGTTCCACCTGGAGAAGGCTCTGGTGAGTCCTGAGATTGGCTTTTCAGTATTTAAAAGGGGCTACAAATGAGGGGGGCAGACTCTTTCTCAGAGTCTGTTGTGATAGGACAAGGGGAAATGGTTTCAAATTAATAGAGGGGAGATTTAGGCTGGTTATAAAGAAGTGTTTTACAGTAAGGGTAATGAAGCACTGAAACAGATTTCCCAGAGAAGTGGTAATGCGTCATCCCTGGAAACATTCAAGGTCAGGCTGCATGGGGCTGTGAGCAACCTGATATCGCTGTAGGTGTCCCTGTTCGTTGCAGGGGAGTTGGACTAGGTGACCGTTAAAGGACTTTTGCAAACCTAAATGATCCTATGATTCTATGGTTCCTCAATTATGCAATGTTCTGTAATTACACGTCATAGCATACTTGCTGTTTGCTGGGAAAAAATAAAAGGAACACGCATAGAGATTTGGCATGAGAATATTATGTATGTTCCACTAGAATTTGGTTCTCACCCTACCACAATCATTTTGTGCTTGATTTAATACTCAGGGAGGACGTCTTCATAAAACTGTAATACTTGCCATATGTTTTATGAAAGCTTTTTGCCATTTGTTTAAAGAGCCTGCATTTTGAATGTGTAGGAGTGGTTCGCATTTAGAAGTAAGAGCTGACTTGTGAAGAAACATGAACTCCACTAAATGAGAAAGGAGATAAATACATCTGTGAAATACTTGACAACATTCATGCAGAGTGGCCATGAACTTTTCATGATCCATTTTCATTCTACCTTCACAATAAAACTCAGGAATGTAAACAAACTAGGATGTTGAGACTTTTTTCCTAGTGGTACCAAGAGTCAGCAGCAATGCCACTCATGCCTGTTTTTGTTGTATGAACAACAGCTGGAGAAAAGGGAAGAGAGCTGTGTTGTGCAATGTGACCTTTAGGGCCATGCCAAGAGTCTAGGATATAATATAAAATGATATCATTTCCTTGCTATAAAAATCTTGGCAAATTGACAAGCATCAAAGCAATTTACTCTTAATATGAAATTCACCTTTGCCATAAGCACTTCTTTTCATATTTGAGGCTTAGTACAGATTGATTAAAGGCAAAACAGCCAAGGATTTCTGAAATGTCAGGACCTTTCTGGTGTTCATCCAACCGCACTTGTCTCATTTTAACACTTTGCTAAGACTCGGAGGAGATGTTCTGGTGCTTAGCACAGTTGACATTCCACTTCCTGTGCATCCTTCCCACCCAGCCTTTCCATTCAGCCATGCTCTATGGCATTTGCAGCTTTAACTCAGCCTGTCCTCTGCTCTCTTTTGCCGTGAGATCTCCCATGAGATTCACCTGGGCCCACTGCTCAAGCCTGCTTACATCCCTTTGGATGGCACTGTGTCCCTCTGGAGTGTCAACTGCAGTCCACAGCTTGATGTCATCTGCAAACTCACTGAGGGTGCACTCAACGCCACTGTTGGTGTCATTGATGAAGATATTAAAGAGTACTGGCCCCAGCACTTACCTCTGGGGAACACCACTCATCACCTGTCTCCATAGAGACACTGAGCCCCTGACCAGAAGTTTGAAGCAAGAAACTCAGCTGAGCGTAGGGGGGTGACAGGAGGAATTGTCTGAGTGAAGTAAAATACCTGTAAACCATCACCCTAAACCCCAAACACTCAAGCCACCTCATGTCTTCTGCTAAGACCATATGCTGAACTTAGAGGAAAACAGGCTTTTTCATCTTCCTGATTTTCACTGACAGCGCAAGGTGTCTACCCTGTGATCCCACTGGTTTTGGAAAGATTTGGATGAAATATTCAGAAGCTCCAGCATTTTACTGACAAAACAGTAGTACTGCACTCTGCTTGGCCAATGATCTCTCCTCACTGGAGCCCTCAGAGCTTCCCAGAGTATTACTGTCTGCGAAGTTCATTAATGTGCAGTTTGCTCCCTCCTCCTCCTCATTAATAACCATATCGAATAAGAATAGTTTAAACAATCCTGTCTTTGGGGAATTTTTCTTTTAATGAGACTGAACCAGGCTTCTCAGCCAGGCATAAATGTGGTATACTTTAGGTTTTCCCACATCGCTCCCAATTTATCTTCAATTACCTCTGTTTCGTAGTGCTGTTGCACTTCAGATGCTTGCCTGACAAACTCATGTGGCCACCCCAAAATTGAGACACCTCCTTGGCTTCTTTTCAGCCTTTCTGAAGTAACCTTCACATATGTTCAGCCCCCTCCTGTCTGTGTATAATGTTGGCCATTCGAAGCACAAGATCTATGTAGAAAGGGACAATCCTAAGCTGAATTTCTCTCTAAAAATCTGTTAAATCAGATTTCATAAAGCTAACATCTCGTTCTGGCTCATTAGCATTGTGTTTCTAGATTTGTTGTATTAATTCACAGTAGATTCTGACGTGGCTGTTAATTTGGCTTTGGAAACACAACCAGTAATAGTTTGAAAGAAGATCTTAAGAGAACTATTGACATTTCCTCCTTCTAATGGGAACTTCTGGTTCATTCAAAAGGTGGCCACATAAATCCTTGATTCAGCAGTTGGCACAGCTGAAGTTCAAAGCAGGTTTCTAAGCATCAGCTTTTGTCCACAGCAAAAGATCGACTGTGGGGGAAAAGGACCTTTGCTTCTGTGCTGTCTTGTGATCTTGCACTTCAGAAGGCACCCATCTCTTCCTGGCCCCTATCCTCTTATCTCACAGAAGGTTTCCACCACATCAACTAAGTTCAGGGCTGAATGACTGAACTCTGAGACAACAAGAGCGACAGCTGCAGGGAGAGATGGGGAAACCTCTTCTGTAAGAAAGTGAAAGGGGTATGGTTTGTGAACAGCTACTGTTAAACAAGCCTAGGGCTAAAGGAGGTTCCCTTCTTTGGACAGAAATAAAGCAGAGGTTCTTTTTCTCTCCTGGCTTGTTCTGATCCACAGCAACATGACAGAAGCAGTCAGAGGGGCTGTTTGGCACCTGCCAGAATGCTTGCCTTTGCTGGTCTCCTGTTATGGAAAACGAAGATTTTTTTCAACCAGACTAATCAGCTGCACATTGCAGCTGGCTCGCCCTGTAATACCATGCAAAGCTAGCATATGGCTCATTACAATATACTCTGACTAAGTGTTCAGCCAAACAATCCACCAAGGCATTATTGCTTCTCTGATGTGCCGTTTGCACTTTTTGCAAACAAAGCAACAAACAATTCCTTTGGAGACACTTTTCAATTTTAGATGAGTCTTGAAAAAGCTGAATTTCTCACTGTGCTATGAAGGAGCTTACAAGCCGGTTCTCCATCTCTTGGTAGATGGGCATTTCGGGTTCCAGAGGAATCTGAGTTTCCTTACACTTCACATATCTCTGATAGTGGATGGCTGCTCTAAAGGTGGCTCTCCTGGTCTTGTCCAAAGGCACACATCTGTTTTTGATA